ACCTTTCCAGAATAAACAGGTAAGTAAGCACGTCATCTGATGACCTGTTTATGACTGCTCCATCCTCTAACAATCCCTAACTGTTGGACATGTAGGGTATTTCCAATGCTTTTGTCAGGATAAGTTATGCTAGAATATGCTCAAGGAGGGAGGGCCCTGTCTGTTTTGTTCTCTGCAGCATCCCAGCACCTGGCACGGAGCTCAGCAGAGAAGGTTCCAGCAATGTTTGCTGGACCGAGTGATCCAATACAAGCCACAGCGTGCAGCCTCTCAGCTCCACCCCCGACAGGGCCTCTCCAGCCCCTTCTGTCCCCATGAGGACGCTGGGTCCTCAGCCTGCAGCAGCATTCAGGATCCCCACGGCTGCTCCAACAGCCGGCCTTGGGCTCTACTCTTTCCTTCCGCCCCTTTTTTCTCTACCACCTTAAGCGCACCCTCATTTCTCCCCAGCCCACCGCGCTTCCGCCTCAAGCCCAGTGCCCTCAGAACTGCTCTGAGGTCCCTTGCACTCCCCACCTCCAGTGCGGGCCTGCTGGCCTGAGGACAGCAGAGGCACTGAGCACCCCTTCCGCCACACAGCGGCATCTCCCTGCCTCCAGGCTGTGTGCCACCTACAGCCTGTCCTGCAGGGCTCCGGTCCACCTCTGCGCCTCCATCATCCCTCCACAGGAGGGTCCCTAACTCTATCACAGACATTCACAAATATGGCCTGAGCTCCTGCTGTGTGTGGCCCCCTCCTAGGACAGACGTGCAGGGAGCAGCGATGGTCGGTGCTAATGGTCGGGGAACAGGCCTCAGCACCCCACAAAGGAAACCCAAGGAAAGAGAAACTGTGTCTGCAAACAGCCCCCACCATCCCCATCTTCCAACTAGGTGGCTGTCCCTACAACAGCCCCCTAAAGATCCTGGAGTCACGGATACCACACAGACACATGCAGCCCCCACAGCCAGGGTGTGCTGAGAGCTCAGAGCTGGGACAGGTGAGCTGCATATGAGCACATCCAGGACACCTGCCCATCTAGGGAGCCAGGTAACTACTCTCAGAGGAAGCGAGGACTCAGCTGAGCCCTGAAGAATGACCAGGGGCTCCCAGGAGGGAAAAAGATTCTGGGAAGAGGACCCCAACTGTTCAGTGGCTCAGGGAGTCTGAGGAACAGAGAGGAGGCCAGTGTGGCTGGAACCAGAGAACAGGGGGAGGGGGGAAAGGAGCCTGAGGCTGGAGCACTGGGAGGGCCCAGGGGTCCCAGAAGTCCCTGCAGCCTGGTCTCCCCCAGCTGCCTCGGGTTGGATCTCAGCAGCCGTGCCAGCCCCACCATCAGCCAGGTCCAAATGTCTACCCAACAGAGCTCCGCAAACTCAGTACCCGGCTGAGCACAGCATCAACCCCCAGGCCTGCTTCCCATGGGGTCCTCCCAGGCACAGAGGCCGGAGTCCCCAGGGTCGCCGAGAATTCCTCCTTCTTCCTTGGTACCAAATCCTACCTGGATCTCCCCCTTCCCAGCCCAGGTTCCTGCTCTGCCCTGCACAGGGCCTATCTCTTACCTGGGTCAAGGTCCCAGCCCCATCACCTACACTGAGTTTCCGATCCAGCACCCAGGCAGCTGCCCGGAGTTTCCTAAATCTCAAGCCCTGCCCCCCACCCCCTACAGCAGTTCAATATCTTCCTGGTCCTGGTTCAACCTTTCCTGGTGCCTGCTGGTGCCAGTCTCTGCTGGCACTGAGATACAGCAGCGAGCGGGTCCCTGCCCACCTGTGGCTTGTCTTCTAACAAAGACACATTAACCACACACGTTGTGCTGATAATTAAAGGCAGTTGTATTGCGTGCGGAGGGGCTGCTAGTGCTGTGGGAGTCTCCTACAAGTCACTCAGAGCCCTCCGTAGGCCAGCCCACACCTGCCTCTGCAGCTCTGCCTCCTGGGACCCACGCTTCCCACCTCTGCTCACCAGAATGCCCTTGTCTGTGCCCATCGGTCAAGGTCCTGTTCAAATGCCACCTCCTCCATAGAGCCTTCCCCAAGCTCCCCCTGGAGTCCATCATCCCCTTTCCTCCACAGCTGGTGGGCCATCTCTGTTTCCCCCACTAAGGCTGGAAGTTTCCTGAAAGCAGAATGCTCGCCTTTTCCATCTCCATGTCCCCCAAATGCCTTGTATGTTGCATGTGCTAATACTTGGATTCACTGACTTGGGTGTGTTGAGCATGTCAAGCCCTCACCTTTGTCCTCCTTCCAACCTAAATGCCTTCTTGCAGGGTTTCCGTTCTCTTAGGAGAGGTCTCTTTGCCCTCACCTCCTGTGAGCATGGGGTGACCTGGGACCCTTAGAGCCAGCTGGAGTTCGCCTTGTTCCCTGGGGCCTCTCTGGCCCAGGATGGTGAGAAGCCAACCGCCACCCCCCCACCCCACCCCCGACCCCCAGCTCTGGGGACCAGCCCCACTCTCAGCTGCCCTTCGGACCCACCGATCCTACGGGGATAACAGCACAGCGTGGGCCGGAAACACAAATCCTCACCATGTCCCATCTCCCGGTCCTCAGCAGGCTTCCCACCCTGCCCTGAAGCCCTAGCCCATATGCCCGCTCCCCTCACCCTGCCTCATGGGCAGCCCATGGCCTTGACTCCCATTTCTCTTAAGTAAACCCAGAACCATGTGCCAAATATGTGCTGAGGGGCTGCCTTCCCTCCCGTAGAATGGACTGGCAGGCTGGCACCTTGCAAGGACTCGCGCCCACCAATGCATCACAGCCTCCCCCCCACTCCTGGATGTTCTCAGCACGCAAACTGGCCTGAACATCCACCGCCTTCAAAGCCTTCCTGGCCTCGAGCCCCTGCCCACTCCCTGGGTCTGGGCTTTGCTCCCTTTACAACAAAACTCCTAAAAGGGGAAGTGACATGTGGAGACGGAGCATATGAGGTGTGATAATAAAATATGGTGAATGCTGCTACCGAGTGCCATCCAGCGGAAAGGCAGGGATCTCCAACACAGGAAGCGGTGCGTTGAACCTTAACAGTGTGTGACAAGTTTCAACTTGTTTGGTGCAGTCAGTTGGTTGTGAGCTACGGTTGAGAGAAGGTGTGTTTTAAAGCGTGCTGTAAATCATCCTCCATCATGACAACGCTCCGTGTCACCGGAAGTGATGACTTCTGGTGTATGGCAATTTCTGTCAAATAAAAACATTATGGTGTGTGATCCTTTTGTAGTTCATAAGTGTGATGATTGGGTGTTCAAGTTCTTGTGTGATATGCCTCCCTCAAACCTTGTCATGATATCGGCACATTACCCATCTGACGTGAAAAAAAAGAGGACGGTTAGCTCAGGTGGTTAGAGTGCAGTGCTCATAACACCAAGGCTTCGGATTCGATCCCCACACGGGCCACTTAGCTGCGCTCTCCACAACTATTGGGTTGTCGGAGAAGTCACGACGCATTTTTGCAATGAAAAACAGAAAAAATACGTTATGACTTTTCCGACAACCCGATAGCTTGAAAACAACTACTTGACTTGGAGCTGATGGGTCCTGGAAAAACACACTGTTCCCCAATAAAATTTTTTTTCAAAATAACAACAACAACAAAAAAACATTACAGTGTGTCCTCATCCACCTTATTCACCAGGTCTGGTACTGTGCGACTTCTGGCTCTTCCCCAAAGTCAAAATGATTCAGGACATCGAAGCAGCCACGACAGTGCAACTAAAGACACTCGTGAAAGAGGACTTCCAGAACTGCTTCAGAAAGTGGCAAGAACGATGGAATGTGTTTGAAGCGAGGGGGTGTATTTTGAAGGGGATTAATGGCAATGTGTCTTTTACTGTAATATTTCAAACATTTACCGTATTTTTTTGTCACACCTCGTAGCTCTGCAGCCAGACTGTGTGCTCTGCACTCCGGCTTCCAGGCTGCTGGACTTGGACGAGGGACCTGTGCTTCCATGAGCCATCTCCACATCTCATTCCCATTACCTCCCCACCCTCGGCCCGGCTGCCCCCGACCCTCCCTGCATAGCTCTTGCTCAGGTCTCAGCTCTTGTGTCCTCCAAGGTGTTTCCTGATCCTTGTAGCACCAGTAAACGCCCCTCACCACCCTCTCTAATTAATTGCTGTTATTTTCTTCATAACACGCACCAGTGCCTAACATTCTAGTATATTTGGATCTACTGCTATCATCCACACTACAATGAGGAATACGCAGCCACTATTTGTGAAATGAATCTCACAATCCATGATCTAAACATCATTATGCCCACTTTTTGGATCAGGAAGCTGAGGCTCAGAGACGAAGTCAATTATCAGGGTCCCCTGGCTACTATGCGGCGGGCCTCGGGTTGGACTCAGGTCGGCCTGGCTCCAGAGGCAGGGCTCTTGGGTGGCGGCTCTCCTGTGCTGTGCGAGGCCTCCAAGGCCGGGAGAAAGACCGAGGGTTCCTGTTTTCTGAGAAGACTCATCCAAAGACAGAAGCCCAGGAACAGGAGCGTCTAAGGAAGTGTCCAAGATGCCGCAAGCACAGCAACCCCATCGAGTCCCAAGTCCACCATGACAGGGACACAGGGGTGGAGAGGACGGAGAATGGAGGGGGCACCCCTTAAGAACTGCAGGGGCACGTTTCATAGCCAAGTCCAGGCCAAAGGCTCCCTCACGCCAGTCTGGGGCTGACCCAGGAGTCCAGAGGGGCTGCCAGTCAGCTCTGGGCATGTGCTGTGGGCTGGGCCCTGGGCCGATGACTTCACACCCTTCCTTCACTCCTGGCAAACACCCTGTGATTGTCCCCATTTTATAGATGCGGAAGCTGAGACCTTACAGCTGGGGGTACAGACCATCAGGATTTGAGCCCAGGTCTCTGCTCCCACGCCTGCTTGGGCAGCCATCACACGTGGGGTATGTTCCCGCTGCCCAGGAAAGGCTCTGCCCAGACCCCAGTGAAACAGCTCAAGCCCCAGACTCCATGGCATGAAGAAAGCGAACATGATGGAGGGGCAGATAGTCCTGTAGAGATGAAAAGACACAGTGATGGGTGCAAAACAGAGGCTTTAATCCAAACAGCAATGAAGGCGCATGGGGCTCGGGGCCGTGGGGGCACAGGAAGGGGGGCAGGAAGGCGCTGATCTAGACCCCAGGAGAGAGGCAGGCACTGAACCTCTCCTTGGAAAACTATCTCTGTGACTCGTCCCAGCTTCTGCCCAGGCCATCAGCCCAGATTCCCACTGGTTACGTGGACCCAGACACGGAGCAGATAGAAGAGCAGGCCTGGGCTTGGGTAGGGGAGGGTCTGCAAGAGCCAGGCCTGGGAGCAGCCCTAGAACTCTGGAACTGGCATGCTGCTACCAGCCCCCTAACCCCTTGGGTGGGCCTGCCCAGCCCAGCCCCTGCCCCTACTCAGAGCCAAAGTCCAGCTCGGGGGATTATCACTAGCTCATCCTGGAAGGCCAACAGGCGAATTCAGGGAGGTGGGAGGCCAAGGGCCTTGGAGAAGCAAGCAGCAGTGAGGAGGCAACAGAAGTGGCCATAAGAATGTACCGAGAGGAATCCAGGTTCTCACCGACCACACTGGCCCAAGCCCCACCCTTCCCAGCCAGTGTGCTTTGGGAAGGCAGGCCTCACCCAATCAGCCCCGAGCAAGCCCTGCAGGGCCCCTCCCAGGAGCCCAGCGCCCACCCCAAGGGCTGCTCTGGGGAGAGGACAGGTGTGCCTATGGCAGCCAGGCCAAAGGCCCACGGACAGAAAAGCAGGATGAAGCACTGGACACAGGTGCCCGCAGGCAGGGGCAGCCGTGAGGAGGAGCTGGGAGAGTCACCGGCCAAGGAGCCAGCGCTTCCCCTGCCCCACCCCACCCCAGCTTGGCCGCCAGCCTCAGCCTCCAGCCCTCAGGACACCCAGACGCCCACCCAAACATGGCTTGGGAAACTGACCCGCCCTGTGGGGAGCAAATGCTCCAACCCCGAGAGAGGCAACAGGACATGGGAAGGGAAAGCAACGAAGCAGCAAAACACCTCCCTCTCCCCACAGTGAGGCAGGACAGCCCGGGTCTCCCCACGGTCCCAGCCCCTCTTGTCGCCTGTCCCCCACAGGAGAAGTCAGGACACTGGCCATACTTTGGTCACTTCTCCCAACGTGGGTCCTTCAGCCGTACGCCCCGAACCTTCCTCAACCCTGCGCTCACCACCCACCCCAGTAAACAGCCTCTCATCAAACAGAAAGAACAGAGGGAGGGGGCGGGGGGGGGCGCAGCTGGGGTCGGGAAGGGCAGGCACAGGAACTGCAGCCTGGACGCTGGCTGCTCAGCCCCTCCTAGCACGAAGTGACAGGATGGATGGGCAGCAGGCTCCCGAACTTGAAGTGCTGGATCACGGGAAACTTCTCCAGGCACTGCGAGGAAGGAGGCGGAAAAGCAGAGGTGAGGCCTGCACTGCACCCCTGCCGAGGCCGGATGGGGCCTCCAAGGGACCCCTGGACAACCCTGGAGGCTCGGACCAGTGCAGTTCCCAAAGGTGCCCATCCAGGGCCCAGGAAGTGGGCCAGTCTCAGAGCTGCCCGCCGGCCTCTGTGGAAGGGCAAGGCTTCCTCCTGTTCCCGACCACCCCCTCCCATCCAAAGACCCCCACTACATGACAATCAGACCCACCAAAAAATGGCAGTGAGAGTGAGCGGGAAAAGGCGAGAAGGCAGCCCAAGCCCACCAAGCAGAAGCCAAGAGGAGAGGACGCCAAGTCACATCAGTTGGCCCAGAGGGGGAGTTGGGACCAGAGGCAAAAAGAGCCCTCCAGATCACTGGGGACCCCTCAGCCCAGGTCCTAGCCCTGGACAAGAGGTGTGGGGACACTGGGACACAGGCATGCGAAGGGCCCAAGACCTATTTTCTCCAATTTTCAATTTTTTGGACTGAAAAAGGCATCTTGGCACTTCAGAGTGAGACAATAAGAACCATCTGACAGCCCCCCACCCGCAGGGCAATTCCCAGCAGCCCTGTGCGTGGGGCAGAGAACAAGAGCCCTGAGCAGGGGGTGGCCCTACTCCACAAGCCCAGCCCACCAGGGCTCAGCCCAGAGCTCTGGCAGAGCGGGGACGGAGACAGCGACCGACCTACCACAGAAGCTGCCTGGTCCTCAGGCCCGCACCCCCCTGCCCTCTGGTGGGGCACTGCTTCGGCATGGCACAGGACCAGGCACAGGACCAGGAACGGGGGAGGACCCCAGCCCCGGCCCCGCTGTGCCGACCGCACAGGCCCTGGGCATTAGCGAGGTCTCACAGGCAGCAGCTCCAGGCATCCGAGGACCTGCCTCCTCTCACACCTCTGGCTACAGAAACAACCAGAATGTGGTGGGCACCTCCTGGCTGGGGCGCAACAAAACTTACAGCCTCGGAGGGGGTGAGAGTCCCATTCTATAACTGTGGTCTCAACCTCCAACCAACTTCGAAGGACAAAGGCATGCCGGGACTGGCCCAGGTTCCCTCACCTCAACAACCAGCTGCAGAAACAAGGAGTTTCTCAGGCAGCGGTGTGTGTCAGGGTAGGGGGTGGTCCACAAGGACTGAGGGAGGACAGGACACGAGCAGAGAAAGGAAAACCCTTTGTGCAGTGGAAGAATGGGGACCCAGCTCAGTGTGGGAGCAGAACTCCAGGCCACATCCAGGCTCCCGGGCCTGGGGCAGAGAAAGTGGGGAGCAGGCAGCTGGGGGTGGCCCCTGGGGGGGAGGAGGAGCAGCAGCAGATCTAGGCCACAGGGAAAGGCAGCTGCCATTGTGCTTATGTCATGAAGGAAGTGGTGGGAGTTTGTAAAAGGGGGGGCCAGGGCCCTGGAATTCCAGAGAGTCAAAGGTCAACCTCCTTCTAGCTCTCCTTCGAGAAGCTACAAAGGCAAGAGGCTTTGGGGGAGGGGGCAGGGGCAGGCGTTCTCCCTCTGCCCTCAGGGACCCACAGGCACGAAAGGCTGTGTGGGGCAAAGCAAGTCTGAGCCCCACGGCTGGCAGCGGAAGGCAGCCTCTGTGGTCAGTCCTTTCTCCCCGCTAACTGTGCCCGCCTGCGCACCAGGCAGAGCAACACCTCGGCCTGTCAAGAGGGCGGAGAAGCTCTGCGGCCCTGAGGCCATCCTTCTGAGGGGAGCACCAGCACAGTGACAGCCCTCGGGAAGGACAGGCCCCGCCACACACTAGGGCCCCAAAAGCATTTGGTTCTTCAGTTCAGAAAGGCCAGGACAGGCAGCTTGGAGATGGACAGCTGGCCCAAATCCTGAGGCCACCTAATGCCAGGCTGAAAGCCCCTTCAGCAGCCAACTCTGGCTGGCAGCCCTGGCCTTGCTAACCCCCTTCTGGCTTCACCCCAGACTGAGAACTGGTCTGAGAAAGCAAGTCTTCCCCATGGACCTCCCCTTGCATCACCAGGGAGGAGGTGATCCCACGGACTCTCAGGGACCACAGAATAAGGGCCACCTGCCAGAGTCCCACCGTCACAGAGACCTGGTGTTCCCAAAGTCGGCGTGTGCCAGCATTGTCCTGCAAAGGCGGCTGCCGCCACACAGCGCCAGGCAAGGCTGCCAGCCCACACAGCGCCTGCGTGCACCCAGGGCTGGCGTTGCCTGGTCCAGGAAGGGCGCTCTGTCATCTGCTCGTCTCCCTCTGTCTGAGCTGCAGGTAGTTTTCAGTCACTGACCTCCTTGTGTTCAACATCCATCCGCAGAAATACTGACAACTGTTACACCTCAGGCTGTTTTGTCCTCACTGCACTATCGCCATTTCCAATCTTAACTGGCTCCTCCCTCATCCTCTGTCAACTCCAGAGCTCTTTTGCCTCTGGGGAGCAGGTCCAGAAGGGTGGCAGGGTCTCCTGTTCTGCCCTTAAGGGCCCAGGTCAAGATAAGTGTAGTCACACCCAATGAGGGCCTGCAGGAAGGATAGCATTTAAGACCCCAAGCAGGAAAGGCAGCAGAGTCCTGCCTGGGTGGGGGTGGGAGGCTGGAGGGGGCCCTTCACCCCTCCAACACGGCACACAGCCCCCAGCAGTGGGGAGCGCTCAGCAAGGTCACAGAGCTCCCCATCAGCACCCACTGTGGGACTGGTGGGGGCAGGGGGTGTCAGGAACAACAGGATACCCAGAGGGCAGTGACCGGGTGCTCTCCAGGCAGGAGAGAGCAGCCAGAGTAGAGCGCTGGTGGCTGCCGGAAGGAGCGTGTGCAGCCCTGGCAAAGGCTCTCTCAGATTAGAGAGGTATGTAGGCTGGAACCTAAACACAGGATGTGAAGTCCAGAGGAAGGGGATGGAGGGGGGAGGGGGCGGAAGGGAAAGAGAGGGCCAGGCCCGGTCAATCTCAGCACCATTAACCCCTTCAGGGCCATGCAGAGCGAGCCAGGCCGAGCCCCAGCAAGCCAGCAAGCCGCAAACCCCCTTTCCTCCCTGCTCCCTGCCTCTGTTGATGGGATCTGAGTAAGCTCCGGGTGTTATGCAGCAAAACCCAGAGAACCTGCCTCTCTCCACGGAAGAGGGATGGCCAAGGGTCAAGAGATGGGCACCGCAGACAACTTCTGAGACCCCAGCCCGAGGTGAAAAGAGGAGACTTTGCTCCAGGTGAGGGACTTCACATCCAGGCCATTTCTGAGCCAAGATCAAGCAGTTCCAGGACTGATCTGCCCACGGTGTGGAAGAAGCAAATGGGAACGACAGGGTGGAAAGCAAATGTCTCCTCCCCACTTGCAAGAGAAACAGCCGCCTGGTTGGCTGGGAGAAGGGAGCCAGGGAAGAGGAGCGAGCAGGAGACCCCTCAGGAGCCCGCAGCCGCAACCCAGCAGGGGGAGCTCCGGAAACTGGACCTCTCCCTGCCTTTCTAACTTGACCAGGGAAGACCCCCTGAGTGGCCAATAAAAATGCCAGCTCCCATCTGCCCAGCGATCAGACACCAAAGTGTGAGAAGCCCCACTCTGGGTCATGCCTCCAAAGGCTAAAACCCTTTCTCAAGCGTGTTTTCATTTGTGTGTCCCCATGAGTGACAGAGCTGCCAGGGGCCTCCAGCCATCTGACAAGTGGGAATGGCGATTTCCCCCTCCCCCCACCAACAGCAGGGCCCGGCCGCACTCAGTGCAGAGCTGGGCCTCAGTCTGGTGCTTTTTGACAACCCATCCCACAGATGGAGATCCTGAGGCTGCAAGTGTCAGCGGGGCTGGCCCAAGATTCAGAGCAGAACAGTGGAGTGGGGGTGGGAGAGCAGCAGCCCCCACTCACCTCGGCCTTGTACATGCGGATGAGACCCTGGTTCACTTTGGACCAGGAGGGCACAGCACTGATGTTCCACAGCTGGTTGGAGTGCTCTGCAAAGGGACCCGTCTTCATCTGGAAAAGAGAGTCCACAAGCTAGAGAGGAGGCCACCTGGGAGCCCCTCCCCTGCTCCCCTGCAGCAAGGCCAAGCGTGCATACACATACACACGGATGCATGCACGCATAAACACGTACACACACACACACACGTGAGCACACACGCACGGGGACCAGGCCACAGCATCTGCCTGTGGGGTGTGCACACACATACAGGCACACATTAAGTGCCAGGGACAGGGTCCCCCTCGGCCTGCAAGATCCATTGGGAAAACACAAGGCCCACAGTCACCCTTTTCCTGCCACAGCCAAAAAATGGGGGGCCTGATTCCCACCACCCCATCAATCTAGCAACCTCAGAAAAATCAAATCTCCACCCAAGCTCCTAGTGCGGCTTCCTCCAAGTCCCCAGAGCCACAGAAGGTCTCACCAGCACAGGGACCCTCTCCCATTCAGATGAACAGCAGGAGTAGCCTAGACCCTGACCCTCTCCAGCCCAGCCCCACATACAGGGTGGGTTCTGCCACAGGGCACTTGGTCTGCACTTGCCACTGGCAGAGGTGGGACAGTCGAGGGAGGGGGTCAGTTTGGAGGAGAGCCAAGGTGGGTGAGACCAAACCCGGGCACTGACTGCGACTGTGAGCTGGAGCCACCTGTAGTAGATTCAGGAGGAAGATCTCTTTAGAAAGCAGCCTGACCTTGACAGGAAGTGTGAAAGGGGTGGCAACCACAGCAGCAAGGGACAGACAGAAGCAAGGACAGCTCCACTCCTGGTCCCACCTCTGGCCGGAAGTCTGGCCAGAGAGAAATTCTGCAGCGAGCCCAGGGGAATTCCCGTGCCATCAGGAGCCACAGCAGACACAGGGAGGTCTGTGTGCCTGAGTGTGCCCCTCAGACAGCACGAGGCCCACACACCTGTACTGATTAACAAGCAGTTCACGGTCCCCCTCAACACTGCCCTCCTTCCCCGGCTGATAAGCAGCATTGATTCTGGGGAATCAGGGTTCAGCACCTTGAGCCCCAGGCTTCAGAAGACAGACTGAAAAGCAAAGAGGCTAAGCTGGCAAAGAAACATAGACTTGGACTCTGAGTGCATGGAAGGTTCCAGAAGAGGCTGTGCTGGAGGCGGGGCTGAGGGAGAGCGATTCTAGGCAGAAAGGAGGGGTCCAAAGCTCTCTCTGCATATTGGGCATCACAAGAATAAAGGCCCAGGAGCACATCACCACACCACAACCCCTCACCACCCTCACCCCAGCCCCTGCCTCTGGCTGTGGTCTCTGCCTAGTTACCCACTCCCACCAGCCTCTCCAGTAAGGGCAACTCGTACAAAACTGTCATTTTACCCCTGTCATCTCCCTCCCCTGGCCCAAGCCCCCCAAAAGCCTGTCTCAACCCCCAGGTTCGGTAACAACAGGCTTCTTCCTCCAGCAATGAGGCCACAGCCCAAGTTGCTGGACAAACCCATCCTGGTGCCCGCAGGGCTTCTCCTGGGCCAGTCTCTTCACCCAGAATCCTTCCCTCCTCTATCTAAAGTGCCCTCCTCCATGGGGGCAGCCAGGCACCCCAGCCTGCAGGAGGCCTGGCCTTCACAGAGCTTTGTTCCAACAATCCCACTTACACAGGCTCCACCCCCAACTTTCACCCTCCCCCTCGCCCCGCCCCTTCCCCAAGTTCTCTGCCTTTAGGACAAGGGCCAGGCTCCAGTTCTCTCTTGCACACTTCCAGGCCCTGAGCTCAGGGATCATGGGAGCTGTGTGACCAGTTTCACAATGGTCAGGGCCCTGTGAGCAAGGAGGCACCCTGCTTTCGTGCCACAGCAGCAACTCCAGGGGACTGCTCAGCAAGGCAGACAGATGGATGCTGGGAAACCAGGGGCTCGGCTTCCTGGGCCAGCCTCACCCACTAAGGGCATGGGGGGCGGGGCCCACAAGGTCTCTCTAGCGTGCTGACAGAGCCTGAGCTCCAGAGCCTCAGTGGCCCTGTCCTCCAATCCATGGAAAAGCTAGAGATGCTATTTCTCTCGAGGCGCTGCCCCACTCCCACCCCCAGACCTTCAGTGTCCCAAGGTCTCCTAAGTCCTTCAGAAGGAGACTCTGCAAGTCTGGAAAAGGAAAACAGATGAGGGGGAAAAAGGAATGGGGGACAAGAAGACAAAAAAAAAATTAGCTCATTCTAGCCACAAAGGGAGAAGAGAAAGAGCGAGAACAGGCAAGCAAGCTGCAGTCCCGCAGTGACCCCAGGGGAATCGTGTGAGTCAGAGCAGCCATATTGAGCAGGAAATTACTCACAGACGCTGCGTTCCTGCCTCTCCACTCCCAAGAGAATCGGCCTTTTGTAAATGGTTCCTCTGTCAGTAACTGAGGGGGGATGGGGCGGGGGGTGGGGGAGGCTCTGCATAGCACCTTCCTGTCAGCTCCTTCCCTTCCAGCTGAAATCTGATCCCTCCCTTCCCAAAACTCCAAATTTAGAAGCCAGATTGAAACTGAAATTCTTTTCCTGCCTGCCCTGGGCTCTTAAAGGCGCCAGGGCTGCATTTCCTGAGGCAGCAGAAGCCCTGCAAGATGGAGTCCCTCTTCTGGGGTGCCCAGGGGTAGCAGGAGCAGGTTCCAAGCTGGTCCCCCAGCCTCGCATGAGAGCGGGAGGAGAAGCCTGGTTCCATTTCCAACTTCTTGTTTTGTTTAATCTCCTAGTTGCACTAGCCCTAGAGATTCCCAGGTCTACAGAGGGAACACCGCCCCCTTCCAGACCAAAGCACACACAATTCCACACCGGCCTCCTGGTCCCTGCCCCAGTGTCAGGCCTCGGACCTCCCTTTGTCAGGGTGCGCCAGGCCAGGTCACGAGCTCACCAACTAGGGGCTGCAAAACGCAGGACTGAGGAGGACAGGGTAGGGGCTGCAGGTAGCCCCAAAACGAGCTCTGAACAACTAGCACCATGTGCGCTGCAATCAGCAGCCAGGCCAAGTAGGCGAAAAGGGGCCCTCACTACCTTCACCTCGGCTCTGGGGGAACACACCTGCTAGCTTCCAATGTTTACCATCATACCCAAGCACCTAGACCCAGAGTGAAAACCAGACCTTGCAGAGAGGATGCAGAACAACCCATAAGTCTAGGGCCTGGCGGTTCAAGCCTCTTCCCCAGTTAAATGTTACTATTGTAAAACCTTCTCCAAGTTCAATGTGCCTTTAGTGCCACCTAGGGGCCACTGCAGGCTGTTTCTCTATCAGAGGAACCGGGTCTCAAACTTTGGGAAAGCTTTTGGGTTTTTATACCAGCATAACCAACCAAACAAAAATACAAAGCTTTAACCTGGAGTCAAGTCCCATATTCCCTGAGGCCCCGCCTGGCCTCCCTCCTTGTTAAGTTACTGACAGGGACCCTTACGTTTGGCCTGCCACTAGGGGGAGCCAAAACAGCTTAACCTTCTACCCCCAAGTAAGCGAAGCCACAGCTCAGCATAGAAGGTGCACCCCTTTCCCTCCCTTGCTCCTCCTGGGGTCTTTAGGGCCTCTGAAGATCCTTGAATTCCACTTCGGAGAGCAGCACGTGACTGCCTTTCTCGGCAGTGAGCCAGGCTGCCCTGGAGTCCTTCCGACCTTGGGCCGGCTACACTGCTGAAGGCAGCAGATCTCTGAGAATGAAGTGGTGGCCGCCCAGCCCTCAGTCCCGGGTCCATTTGCTGACTTGGAAAAACGTGTCATTCCCCTCTGGCCTCTGGAGCTTGGTGGAAGCCTGAGCCGAATGCTGACCAGGAGAAGCCTGGAGCCACGGCTGCTTAACCAGGCTTCTCTCCCTTTGCAGCGGGCTCAGAATAGGCAGCTAAGACAGCAGCCCCCACAAGTGGGGCTCCACGGGTGTGCCCGGCACAGCACTGCGGCAAGGAGACATGACTGTGGGCATCAAGGAAGAGAAAGGAGGCAAGACCCTCTCCAGACAGCTGAGCCAGAGCGCCCTTTGGAAGTCTGGGGGGCGGCGGGTACTCAGCAGGGAGGATGAACTATCCCGACACCTCCTGGAAGAAAGGCCCTGAGAGCAATGGGTCCCTAACTTTCATGTGACGTCACCTAGAAGTATGTTTAAATATAGGTTCCTGGCCCTTGTCCCCCAAGATTCTGATTCGGAAAGCGCCTAGGAACGTGCATTTTAACATGCTCCCCAGACAATCTTCAGGAAGTAGTCCAAGGCTGTGCTGTGGGAGACCCTGCCTCAGTGGGACAACAGTGCCGTTCAATGGCCCCCACGGGGTGGGCTGGGGACCCAGGCCTGCTTGTTTTTACCTCCAGCACTATACTTGGCCCATGTCCTTAGGTGCTGACAGATGTGTCCCTTCAGCAGAAACCTGTCCTGCTATCCACTCCAGCTCTCCAACTCCTGCAATAGTTTCATCCCCACATCCCCAAACGTGGACCTTGTAGGCCCCACCTGCAAGATGCCGACACCCACCCACCCACCTGCTGCATGGGTCACCAAGTCCAGCCAGTGAGCGGGTCTTAGTCCCTCAGCTCAAGTAGAAACCCCGGACCTCTGACGGGGAAAATCCTGGCGGTGAGGAGCTGACCTAACCTTTCAGAGGCCTAGGGGGCTTCCCTGTTCAATAACCCGCCTTCTGGGGCCAGGCCTGCCACCTGTGGGCACAGCTCTGGCTCCTCTGTCCAAAGCCACAGCCTCGTTCATCTCAGCCTGGAGGCTGCCGTGGGCTTCTCGCCCCCTCTCCTCACCTCGGTGATAAACAGGATGCACTCCAGGAACATGTAGTCCTTGTGATTTTCATTCACGGCCTTCTCATCCACAAAGTGCCTGGGCTCCAGATACGGGTGATCTGGGAACAGCAAAGAGCACCAGGGTTCAGAACCAGGCGCTCACACCACCGGGGCACCTTGGTTCACACAGTCGACACCCATCCCAGGGCCACAGTCCTGCCCATATGCCCTCAACACAAGACCTCGAGGGAGAAATAATCGGCCTCGTGCGTGTGTCTATTCTGGTGTAATAAGCTCCGGCTCCGCTGCTTTCTAACCATGTGCCTCGGTCCCTTCACCTGTGCAGTGGGGATTAGAACAGTACCTCCCTTGCAGGACTGCTGAGTGCCACCTGACAGCCCTGGGGCCTGCCCACGTGTCAGTCAATGCTGGCAAAGATGCTTCCCAGGGTCACTGAGAAGATTTGGGAGATAATCTACCTGAAGCCCTTAGGGCAGCGCCTGGCACAGAGAAAATACTCAGCAAATAGTCACTTAATACTCTTTTGTAGACAGTTAATCCTGTCAAAACAGAAGTCATCACTGTACCCTCACCCACTTTGGCTTGCACATGGGAAAGTGGGGTAACCACCAGAGAGTGCCCAGAGCAGCAGCCCACTGCCCAGCACTTGGTGGCAGCTCTCTGATGGCCCCATGCACACGGCTCAATAATGACAGCGCATGAAGTTGGTCACCAAGCCAAAGAGCCCCTGGTTTTCAACATAAACCCCTGTAGCTGCTGCCAGGAGCTGGGGTGGATTTCACACAAGCCCATTATGCGCCAGGCAAGGGCCCCTGCTCCAGCCCATGTCACTTCCCATTATCTCGGCGGAGCTCTGCCTCCGCCTCCCTCAGCCTGCCACGCTGGCGCGCAGCAGCAGGTCGACAGCAAGCAGCCTCCATGAATAGCCAGTCTAATGCCTGCTTTACAAGCTGTCACTGTCTGGGCAGGAGGAGAAGGAAGGAGAGGACGAGGAGGGCGGGGTAGGGAGGGGACAAAGAACACACTCTGGGGAGTGGGGGGAGGAAGGGATGTGCCCCCCTTCAGTACCTATCAGCTGCGAACTGCCCCATATGAAGGGCAGAAACTGGAAGTCGTCCAGGCCCCATACTCCCTGGCTGCCCGCTGGCTCCATCCTGTATGTTTTCTGGAGTTTTCGCATCACCTCAAGGTACCTGCACAGGAGGGTGGGAAAGAGAGGGGAGGTAGCAAAAGTAAAAAGACAGTCCCTTTGGGAGCACAAGGTGGCCGGAAATAACGACCTAAGAATGTGACTGGTCTCTATTTCAGTGAAAACCTACACGCACAAGTTATGATCAGCTGGTACTCGAAATAATGTAACTTTATTTTTTTCTCCCACACTCAGCCTTCTTTTGGCCCAGGAAAGGGGCAAACCACCACCTGGGAAAAGGAGCTAGTGCCATGAACTCCTGACAACGTAAGACCCTTGGCAGGAACCTCAGCTTCCCTAACTTGGGCTTGCCCATCGGAAAGCTGGTAGGTGCTGAAGTAGCTCGTTTCTTAGGTCCTTTCAGAACCAGCCTCCGGTGTTGTCAGGAGCTCCGTCCGAGTCGTCGTGGAGCTGCAGCGCTGGCATTGCCGGAGTGGGGCCTGGATGGGCACTGTCCGCGCACTCTGGTGACTGAAACTCACCTGCGCTGCTGGGCAGGTGGTTTGGGTGGTGAGGGGAGCAGGTCAGATCACAGCCTGACCACCTGGGTTCACCTGGCTATGTAACCTCAAGTGAACAAATCTCATTTCTCTGCACCTCAGTTTCCTCATCTATAAAATGGAAATGACAGCTGCTACTTCCTAGGGTTGTTGAGAATTACAGTCATGCACCACTTAACAACCGGGATACGTTCTGAGAAATGTGTCGTTAGGAGATTCTGTCATTGTACGAACATCACAGAGCGCGCGTGCGCAAACCTAAATGCTACAGCCTAGTACATGAGTTGTGTGCAAAGCTCATGCCTCCACGTGGTGAACACCACGGCAGTGTTAGCAGTCATTGTGTAACCTTTCCTTCACTTGCTCTTACTTGAATTTGAACCTGTTGGAAGAAGGAAGCTTGGATACTCCATCCACAGCCAGAGCTTGATCAGGACAGGACGAGAGAACCCTCCAGCACCCTGTCCCCATCTGACAGTAACGAGGAAAGAGACCCCCGCGCTCCTCCTCCCACGGGCAGCCACCCCACCTGCCCTCCTCTTACTCACCGATTGAACACCTTAAAGACAATAGCTATTTGGTCATCCACCCGGAGCACCCCAATCTTGCAGAGACAGCAGAGGAAAGCAGCAAAGGCTGCTTCATGTCCTGGGGGAGTAAAAAACAGCCGAGGTTGACAGTCTACCAGAAAAAGGGGTGGGGGTTGTTCTTGGTCTCACCAGTGTCCGAATCACTGATAACTGCCCCTTTAAGAAGGGAGGTCAACATGAAGATAATGGGGCCTCTTCCCTATCTAGAAAGACCTAGGGTCTTTTAAGAACCACCAGTGCTATAATTCTACTCCTAAAAGCCCCAGGCTGCTGGCTTCTTAAACAGGCATTTACATTTTATTTTGTAGGTTTATCCCACACACCAATTCCACCCTATTTATTGAGCACCTACTATGGGGGCAGTCACTGTCCATGTCAGGCACTAGGGAGGCAGTCCCTGTCCTTGTTTGATAGTTTATGACAGACATTAAATATACAATCACTTCCATGATTCTAGCTCTAAAGGAGAAGGATAGGGTGACAAATGCAGGATATCAGAGGTGGACCCTGACATACGGGTTCAAGGTTTCCCTGAAGAAGTAATATTAATCTGACAGATGAATAAGAATTGGCAAGGCACGGGGGTGAAGAAAGCAAAAAGAGCATTCTAGCCTGAAGAAACAGCATATGCAAAGGCCCTGAGGCAAGGAAACAATTCAATGTGTTTGAAGAACCCTAAGAAGGCCAGTATAGCTAAAGCAGAGGACAAGGGAGAAAGTGTAACAAGATGAGGTTAGAGATCAGACAGGCCTTAACAGCCATAGTAAAAAGCTCAAGCTTTATCCTGAGAGCAACTGGGAGCCACGGAAGGCTTCTCAGCAGGTCACATTCTAAGCATGGTCACATTACAGGGTCAAAGGGCACGCCCCTTCCTTTCCCAGTTACGTCAAATAGGAACAGTCAGCACTACAGAACCCACCGACTAGATTCTGGGCTGAATCCATGGTTCAGTGTCATAGGAAGCATTTTTGGAGGGAGGTGAAGAGAGAATATTTCAGTGACTTCCTATCCTAGCTCTGCAGAATGGTCTTTCCAAGGGCCCGGAAGATTGTGAACTGTTACTTTCACCTGCAGTTTCTGATCATGACCAGTCCGAGTCCAAGTCACCATCATTCAGGGGTAACCATCACTCTTGTACACCTGAGAGCACCTAAGAGTGGAAGAAAACCCCACCCCCTGCTGACCTGGCCACTCTCCCCTCCAGGGTCTTTCCCTGTTAAGTCTTAGTCAAAGCTCTACCCCGGAAAGTCTCAAAATACTTGATAAACCTGTTCCCTGGCAACATGGGGAGCAGACACAAAACTTCCTCAGGGCCCAGGTCCAAGGCGGCCCTTCTCCAGGCGTGCCTCTGTAACACAGTTCCTTTTGAGGATCCCAAGCCCCAGCAGCACTTGCATTTGCCTGCTTTTGGGTAAAAAGTGGGGGAAAGGTGAGCCTACCAAAGCAGGGATCCTCTCAGCCACTCCTTGGCCTAGAGAACACTCCCCTGTTAGGGTGCCCGCATGCTGCCTTTCCTTGAGAGCTCAGAAACACAGGGAATGCGGCTCGGAGCAAGGGGCAGAGGGAGGGGGTAGCTACGGTGCTGCCGGTGGCTGCCATCCTCTCTCATTTCTCAAGGCTTCTATAAGCAGTTGCCTTGAAAGATAGTAAGTGCTCAGTAAATCATTATTTTGGTGATAATGGTGAGCTCACAGAGGGACCATCTTGATAAAGAACAGGAATCCAGTCTGAGCACAATACAGGCAGCACACATATGGCATCAGCTCCCCCTGGTGGACCCAGCCAGGGCTGCAGGGGCAGCACGAGGCCTCCTTACACCCAGCAGCACTGCACCCCAGCTGGCCCTGACAGGCTGCTTGCTCAGGGGGCCCTCAGAGACAACCTGAGAGCAAAAAGGAAGCAGCCCAAGAAAAGACCGCAGCGAAGCGAAGAAAGTGCTGGGAATGGCAGGTACCTGTGCCATAGTCGATGCGCGTGGAGTTCCCCACTGACTCCTTTAGGTAAACAGCCACCTCAGGCACAGCAGCTGCCAGATGGGTGGGGACCACTGTGGCCACCAAGTTTTCTGCTTCCTGATAACACAAGAGACACAAAGTGGTGGCAGCAGATTAGGCAGCATCCCAGTAGGCAGGCGCCAAGGGGCAGCATCTGGCTGGGGCCCAGGCTGCCATGCCAGGCGGCCTGGCTCCCTGCTCGGATTGGCCACAGAAGGAAGGGGAGGAATATTTATTCTTACACAACAGACTACCCTGGGGTGGCTTTTCATCTGCTGACCTTTCCAGGTGACAATGTTCTGGTGGCAAGACAGCAGGGACCTGAAAAGGAGCCATTCAACTCTCCCATTAGGTAATTCATTGACATTCCCATAGATGTCATCTTTCTTCATACTTCCAGCAAGGGAGTTTGCGCCATATGTCCACCAAAAGACGTATGCAAGGATGTTCACAGCAGCATTTTTATAGCAGCCAGAACATGGAAACCCACAATTGAAATGTCCATCACCAGTTGAATACATAAACTGTGGTATGTTCACACACTGGAGTGCTATGCAGCAATGAAAAAGACCCACTGTCATGCACAGCAATGTGGATGAGTCACACAGACAGAACGTCAAGCAAAAAAGCCAGACATTTACATGAAGTTCAAAAACAGGCAAAAATCTATCTCCGAGAAAGAAATCAGAAGAGCTGGGGGGATATCAACTAGGAGCAGGCACGAGGGCCCTGCTGGAATGCTAGAAATGTTCTAAGCTTGATACGGATGGTGGGTGCACGGGTAAAATCATGGTAAGTTGTACAGCTATAATTTGTTAGCTTTAAGTTATAACTCAATAAAAATCTTAAAAACAAAAAACTTAGCCCATGAGCCATCTTAGAATCCAGAATTAGCCCAGGCTACTCTGAGGGAGGGAAAGTGTTCTGCTGGGTCCTTGCGACTTTCGAGAAATTAGGACCCAACTTTCTCTAAGTTCAGTCCATGGACACCTGGGATGAGAACCTCCTGGAGACCTGGTGAAGACCTGGATCCCCAGGCCCCTCTCCAGGCCTACAGACTGTTTTTCTAAAGATGGGTTTGCGATCCTGCATTTGTTTGTTTGCTTTGAACAGGTATCGCCTTTGTATGATTAAAAAATAAACATGTTTTAAAAGGGATGCACTGAGAAGTCCCACCCCACCACTGTTCCATCCACCCTCCTCTCCTTTGTCCTCAAAAAGAAACCACAGCTTTATCTGCCTTTTGTGTATGTTTCCAGCGATGTTTCTCTATACAAACTGAGTATGCAAACATATCTTTTTCTTCTCCCTCTTTCCTACCAAAAGGCAGCTTACCATGCGCGTCACAGGCCTGGCCACTCTTTAACCTGACAGTAAGTCACAGAGTCCCTTCCCTGAGTTCCCTAGCCAACCTCCTCATTCTTCCTTACAGCTGCACAGTGCTCCATGGGTGGAAGTACGGGTTTATTTAATGGATCCCCTGCCAACGGAATATGCACCCACATGGTGATTCTGGAGGCCGCAGAGCTCCCAGTGATGCTGATATGCCTGGAAGCTCCGCCCAGCCCAGCCCAGCCCCCAAGCCTGTCTGTGGCAGCCTCACCTCATCAAGTTTGGCATACCAGGTCCTGTAGGCCTTGTTCCCAAATCGAGAGGGCTGGTCCACTGGAGGAGTCTCATCAATCCACCTGTCCAGCGTGTTGAGAAGAGCAACCAGTTTCTCAATGGCCTGTGGAGGCAAAGTAGAGGAGGCCAAGCCAACAATGACCAGTGGCCCCAAGCTAGAGCCACAGAGGGAAGTCCCAACTGCAGTTGGACAATGACCCCAAGGCATGGCACTAACTGGCATCTTCCTTGCTGTCCCCCTTTCTTCCCAACCATCCTGAATGTGAAAAAGGGGCCAAGGGAGCACAGTGAGCTTCATGACAGGGACCAGCACTAGGTCAAAGGGACAGGTGTGGCTTCAGCACCTGGGCTGTCTAGCCAGCCTTTCCAAGAGGAGCTGCTGGGTAAGTGCTAATTGCAGCCCTGACCTTCTTCAATAGACTTTAGTGGGGTCTTTGTTTAGTACACAACATCTCCTCATCACAGAAAATAGAAATGTAAAAGGAAGAAAACAAAAGTGACCAGTAACCCAGCCACCCAGAAATAAACACTATTAACATTTTAACATACTCTTCTAATTCGTCTTTTTCTAGTGTTTTCTGTTGCTTATCATGGTGAGAATTTTGAAGGCAGCTGAACCTGGATCCAAATCCCAGCTAAAATACCATTTAGTTGTTGCAAGACCTTGAACAAGTGACTTTAACTCTCGGCCTGTTTCTTCATCTCAAAAACGGGCATAATGATAAATACCTCCTAAGGCTGTGACAAGGACTAAACGGCAACCCATGAACGATGCCCAGCACGGTGCGCGGCACAGGGTAATGGCTCATGGTTCGCAGGGCACGTGCAGCTTTGTAGCCTGCTGTTTCCTCATTAACCTTGTTCCACGTCAACGTGTAACTAATTTTACAATGCCTTCTAATAAGAGAATATTTATTATACAGTGTGCTGCAATTTATTTACTGAAGCCCTTGCTGTGAAATGTCTGGGTTATTTCCAATTTTTCACTACCACAAATAACACCATGGTAAACCTGGCAACTCACCTTTGTGGAAATGCTGGGTCAGAGGCGCGAACGTGGGTCGCCTTCGTAGGGGCGCCAGCATTTGAGAGCCCACCCCTCATGTCTACCTTTCCCACGGAAGGCAGGGACTGAGGGGCGGAATCGGTGTCACAGGTCAGGGCAGCATTGGTACACAAAATGCGACTCAGTGAGGGAATCAGGTGAGGCTGCCTCCCCAAGCCACAGGTCTGTGAGGATGTATGGCTAGGAAAGTGCTCCTCCCAGGTATGGCTTACAGAAACGAGCGGGTGGCTCGGGCAGCGCACGGTGCAGAGGACATTTGAAGTGAGGCGGCGGCCCTGGGAGGAGGGACCCTGCCAAGAAGCGGATCGCGCCTGTGTCTACTGGGCACAAATGGTAGAAGGAGACACCTCCCGGAGTTCCTGGCACTGGTAGAAATCAGCAGGGTGGTGCCCACAGGAAAAGTTGTGACAAGGAGGGCAAGACATGGTCAGGTCTGCCATTACAGAAACCACAGAGAAGCTTCCCGAGAGCTGTCTGTGTACTTGGGGGGACGGGGAAGGTGGGCTTGAGCTAATGGAATACATGTTAGCCAGTGCCCCCCACTGCATAGACCCAGGAGGCACAAATCTCGTCGCTGTCCATGTAAATGGTGCCTCCAGTCATTGTGCAAACTGACAGTGGCGCTCCCTCAGCTCCCTCTTCCCTATGCTTGAGGCCAGGGAAGAGAGAAAGAGATACCTGTAAGAGGAGAACGCTCCCTTTATATCTGGCTGAGGCAGAGGACCACAGTGACAGAAGGCTGCCTTGCTGAAATGTGACAAAGTGCTGCCAGACCCTGGCTTTGTAAAGAAGCAGGGGACCAGGAACACTGATAAGAACAGAGCAAACCTGACCCCGTGCAGCACTGGGGCGTGGGAGGGGTGGCGCAATAATCCCGGCCCCAGGGAGCACCAGCAAGGCCCGTCTCCCGCGATCCCAGCCTTGGGTGAGGCTCCGAGGGGGAGAAAGCAGCCCGGCCCCAGCTGCTAGCTCAGCTAGGCCAATCAATAATTAAAATACTCCTAGCTCCTCTTTCTGGTGATGGTTTGGGGGGCTGTCTCTGCTGTTTGGCTCATTGGGGAAGAAGGGATAGAGGGGCGGGCACCGTGGGCTGGAACCCCTCAGGAACATGAAGAACACTTGGAGCTACACTCCTTCTCCACTGGATTTCATGGACAAGTAAAATTTTCTTCAAACTTTCACTTACCAATTTTTTATTTTGCCCTCATTTTAAAAAATCAAATAGAGCAACAACAAAACATCAGCCTCCTATCTACTATCACCTTTATTTTGCAAAAACTTGAACCCCCAAACAACAGGACAGACATAATCTCAAAAGGAAGGCGAGCCCTCCTAATACGGGTCGGCAGGCTCATGTCGCCCACGCTTGTTCCTTGCTGCGGGCAGTCTGGAGGCCCCCCGAGGCCATGCTGCCCTCTCCCCAGCTGCAGCCGCCAGCCCTGCACTAGGAGGCAGGAGTGACAAGAAGCAGGAGGCCCAAACTGCACTGGAAGAGAGCCCCGACTGCGGACCGAGGCCACACACTGTGAGCCAGGCCTCCTGCTGCCCCTGCCAGCAGTGGGTAGAAGCTGGGAGACCAAACTAGTCACCTCTGTCCACCAAGTGAGCAGCAGCCCACAGCCCCGGCGCTGGATGAACCCCAGCTCAGGAACAGCCCTAAATGAAGCAGCCACACTACTGGAAATCAGATCTGCAAAACAGCTAGTAACGATAATACCATCTAGTCTGTGCCAGGCATTGTGCAAAAAAAACACCCCACATATGGGATCTCAGCGAATCCTCCCCAGGGGCCATGAGTAGGTCTGTGGCTCTTCCCACTCTACAGATGAGGACATAGAGGGTCAGAGGGGACAAGTCCACTCAGCTCAGAAGTGAGAGGTTATCAAAACCCGGTCAGCCTGACTCCAGATCCCAAGCAATTGCCCATGCTGCAAACCGCCAAGAGGGCAGCTCCTGGGCTAAGACAACACCTGCTGGGTGTGGACAGCTACCCTCAAAGCCTCAGGGGCAAATAAGGGACTTGAGAAGGATTGGGCCGCTCAGGATCTGCTGGGGTAATTACAACACTCCCTTTAATTAGCCTTCCTCACCACACTCCCCAGCCCACTCAGCACAGTTAAGCACCCCTTGCCACAGGCTCAAGGAGGAGCCCTCTCTCTCCTCAGTCGTCTGTGCCCACGGCCAAAGTCCCACAGCACTGGGCAGGCCCAAGAGGAACCCAGGAAGTCACTGGTGCGCCAGGTCCCAAGAGAAGGCTATCAATCCCCAGCACAGGCCTGGCTCCCCACAAGTGACAGAAGACGATCTTGGCCACCAGCAATCAGTTAGGGCCCAGGAGTAGGAGGGTTAATGGGGCAATGTGAACCTCAGGACAGGTGGAGAGGCGGGAGCCAGGCCTTACCCAACAGGCGGAGGCTACGGCTAGAGTGGCTCCTCAGGCCCTGGGGTCTGAGATAAGAGGCTTGTGGTGGTTCTGGGCCACGGGAACAGGAATCCAAGAGGCCACTGGAAGCCTGGGACTCAGCCCTGGAAGATGGCACGCAGCAGAGCAAGCAGCCCGCAAGACCACACCTTCCCACAGGTATCAGCCTCCCCACAGCTCTTGGCCTCCCTGCACAAACAGCCAAAAGCACCCACCTAGCAGTGTGCGCCCTTCAACTCAGAACTTCCACTCTCAAGAGTGAATCCTTAGGAAATAACGCCCACAGATCCAGGTGCAAGAATATTCAGAGCAGCAATGCTTAGGGAAACCACCTGCAAGTCTACGGTTATGGAGTTGTCTAAACAAACAAGGGCAAAGGGCATGGCTCAAGGAGGCAGCCATTTCCACACCAGGAGAGGAGGCACTCACAGGACAGGTCTGGGTGACCCGCCCCTGGGAGTCAGGCGTGAGGGGGAATATGGGGAAAGGTCAGCTTTTTGGATAATGTTCTACATGTTTCTATTGGTAATGTCTTCAAGTCAGTACATTTACTTCTTTTGTGATCTTTTTTTCATTTAAAAAGTTATATAAAGACACCAGTTAGCAAAAATGCAGGCTATAACATGGCATGTTTACCTTGATCCCAATTTTATAAATAAACATCTATTCACAGATTTAAAAAGATTAGAAATATCGACACCAAAATGTGAACCACACATGTGCTTGGGGAATCTTCTTTTCAGCACTGGCCCTGCTGTGGGCAGTGAGCAGTGAGCACACTGTGCCTCTGGAGCTATTTCTGGACAGGCCCTGCTGGAGGCACCCTGCCCGGCCTACCTCAGAGACTTTGTACTCGAAGGTCAGCTTCTTCCCCTTCACACCTTCGTTGAGGGTGAGGATGAATCCGATGTAGTCGGCGTATGCCTACCAAACAGAGGGGGGACAGGGATGTGGAGAGGGCGGTCAGACCCCCACTCCCTATACCCTAGCTGGCCCCCAGCTCCACCCAGTTACCAAATTGCTCCAAGCTGCCCCTGGCTCCCAACCCGGTAGCAAGAGCAATAGGAAGGTAACAGCAAGCACCCCGCCCCTACACTCCATCCAAAACCACTGGTGAGCCAATGATACCAGGGTGTCCAGCCAGAGTTGACTGTGCTCACTATTGCTGCCATCAGTTTCTTACACAACCCCACGAGATAGATACTATCGCTGTCCCCATTATACAAATGAGAAAACCTAGGCTTCAGGAGAAGTGACTTGCCCAAGGTCTCCTAAGACCGAGATCTCATTAGATCTCAGCAAGCCGAACTCCAAATCAGAGTCACCAGGTACTCGACCACTGTGCTGTACCACCAGGAGTCCAAGGAAACCACCAAGGGTCCCTCCCCTGGTCATCTTCCAGGTGTTTCCCTCACCAGACAGGCCAGGCTGTCCACCTGCAGTGCAGATGCCCCGCTCCCACGAGAAGAAACTGTTTTCTGCCCATGGCTAGGTCTCTCAGCACACCCACCCCCAGCTTACAACTGGGCACTCTCTTCCCTGTTGGGCTGCAGGCTATACTCAGCACAGGGATAAAAAAGCACTAAGGTGCAGGCCCCTGGAGAGGCAGTTCCTGGGAATGAGCAACTTCTGTTCAGTCTTGTATCTTCTTCATCCCTTAGCCCCTCACTTTCCTCCTTATCTAAGATTTAAGGGTGCCAGGAGCACCCACAGCAAGCCCTGCGATGAGCCATGAGAACCAGCCTCTCAGTTCCTAGAAGGGAGCATTCCTACAGCATGATCCTTGCGCTCGTCTAGGAATAGCCGCAGGTGGGACTAAGGGGTCCCAGGGCAGGTCTGGTGGACCACACACAGCTGCTCTCCCAGCCCAGGGCAAGTCTGAGCTCTTGTCCTGACTACGGCCAGTGTCCACAATCACTCCTGCAAAGTACACTGGGATGCAAGGAAAGGGAGCAGCAAGGGGCAGTGTCACCCTCCACAGTCCCTGCTCCCACATGGGTCTGGGTCTCTTAGTGACTAAAACTCAGGACACTCTTATGAACATGACTGTGTGCAAAGTCTCCACCAATGCCGCCATCATCATTATCACCATCATCATCACAACAAGAATAAAAATCACACCTACTGCTCAGTAAGGCTCATTGGGCCAGGTGCATTTTGGGCTTTAAATCAATTAAGTCTCCAAACCCTATTTTATATTAATAGTAGAGGAAACCGAGGCTTCACCAGGTTAGACCTTGCCTAAGTCACAAGAAGAGAAAATGGCAGCCCGGGGCTTTAAGCCCTGACCCTCTGACCCCAAGACCATGCTCTTGGCCACTGTACTCTGCTGCCCAGTGAAACTGTGGGCCACAGCAGAGAGTCACTTGCCTGGCCACAACAGGTCCACACACTTCACTGCTGAGCTTCAGAGGGAGTGAAGGCTTCTATCAGGTATGCTCAACATGCACACTGGAAAAAAAAGTGACCACCACTTCCCCAAAAGAGTTGCTACCTAGAGCAGAGCTGGAAAATTTTGCCTGCAAAGGGCCAGACAGTAAACACAGAGGGGGCCAAAAAAATGTATACGCATTTTAAGAAAGGAAAAAGCTATATTAAAATTGTAATATTCAATATATACCAATAACGAAAGATAAATGCAAGTCATGTGTATGTATATTTTTGGCACCCCCGGTATTTTAGGCTCCACGGCCCATACAGCCTGATTCATATATTCTCAATTCAGCCTTTGTAGCATGAAAGCAGCCATGGACAACCGATAAACAAATGAGCGTGGCTGTGTTCCAGTAAAACCATATTTACAAAAACAGGCAGAGAGTCAGGTTAAACTGGCAGGCAATAATTTACCAACCAACCTGTGGCCTAGACCAATGTCAGCATAGCAGACTCCTCATAAAGAACCTGCCAAACTTGCCAGGGACCCCCCCCCGAGCTTGCCCTTCTCTACAAGTGACACTCCCCACCCTGGTTGAGCAGATCAAGTGTTGGTACCTGGCTGGAGCTGGACCCAAGGCCTTCTCTGGGTATTTGAAATTGGCTTGCTTTATCTTATTCCCAGTCTTTCCACAGCCTGACCATAGCCAGGGAAGTACAAGCTATTATCATCTGCCCACCATGACGGGGCAGCACAGAAAGCTGGTCTGCCCCATGCTCTAGGTCACAGTTCCCAGGTGTTTTTAGGCTCAGCCACTTCTCTGCACTAGGTTTTCATGTGATAACCTCCTCTCCCTTTGATACAATGGCTCCCCAACTTGCTGTTACTTGTAACCAAGAATCGAAGTGACCTACTGCATCATTTAGGACACTCCCGTTCAGCCAGTATAACAACACTCCAGGGGCAAGGGTGTATGAGAACCAGGAGCAGAACTCTCCAGGGTTACCCTGGCCCCGGCCCCCAGGGACCTTCCCACTGAAGCATCTCTGAGTGCTGCCCCGGATAGGGAGGGACAGTCATCGCCCCTGTCACTTCTCTCCCTAGCTTCTAACAGCTCTGGCTCCAAGAGCAAGAAGGATCAGGAGCTCAGAGCCCCAGTCATGACTACAAAGCCACTGTCTTTGAAAAAGCCCAAGTTTCTCATCCCAGTTCTGACCCTACAGTGCAGACACCACTGGTACCTGCGAGCGCTTCCATTTGCCCATGTCGGGAACCGTGTGGATCTCCTTTTTTGGAATGATGAAGTTCTGAGCAGCTGGAGGGATATCCTCCGAAGAATCTGGACAAAGAAAATGAAAAAGCAAAGAGATAAATAAAACCCTCCCTCCTACACACACACACACACACACACACTCTTAAACCAAGACTACAACACCCAAGCCCTACTGTAAACCAGACAGACATGTATTCCCAGGACAGAGTATTGGCTCGTTAAACCAAACCCTCTGGCCTCCTGCCTTTCCTTTCTCTGCAAGGAAAGTAAGGTATCAATTGTTGAGGGAGAAAAGTGCCTGGAGACCTGGAGACCTAACCAGTAGGAAAGAGAATCAGATAAGAGCAAGGCAAACCTCTACCTAATTCAAAATTCAAACCAGGGTCCAAGATAGAGACCAGAAACTCTCTTCCTCCTCTCACCTGTTCTGCAAGCCCTGTTCCCAGAACGCAAAATTGAGACCCCCACGCACACACACTATTAGTAAATTGCTATTTTTAAGTAAGATGCTAAATAAAAAGCTTTGTAGGTCAGGCTGGTAACCTAACCACATTGTTTTTATAGAAAAATGTGTTCCACATTCCAAATAATGAACTTGCAAATGATCTTTGGAAACAGAGCCCTTTTGTGAGTAAGTTGGAGAGAACGGCCTCCTGCAAGGGGATAGGTCTCCTGACATTATTTCACAAGGAGGAAAACTTCCAGGCCAGGAAGGCTCTGTTCCCAGGGGAAAGGCTACCCTATAGGAAGCATTGCAACAAATCACTGATGAAAACACACAAATCACCAGAACATAAAGTTCTAAAGCAAAAACACAAGCCTTCAAACTCAGGACTATGATAAATGAAGTCAGACCCACAGTCTCTTCCTGCGTCGGAGTCTGCCTCTGACAAAGGGACCACCAATGGACAACTGGATCCCCTAAAACCTCTCCGTATAAGATGGAAACACCCAGTTTTAGAGATGTTCCTTAAAAAAAAAAAACCCAGGGAGTCAGTATAATGTATGATAATACACTTACGAACCAGCCCACATATACAACCTGTACCACTTTTGAAAAGGTTAACAGTAATCCACACTGACTGACTTACCGCCATGTCCCATGCTTCGTCCACGTCGTCTATGGGACACACACTACAACTCGGTGAAGAAGGTACAGTAACCCCATTTTAAGAGATAAGGAAACAGGCTCACAGAGGGGCTGCGACTCGCCAGGCAGAGCCAGGTCTGTGTAACTCCAAAATCCAAGGTTTTCACCACTACGCTGCCTGAGTTAAGTAGTTCCCTCCACTTGTCCCAAAACAGCCTGTTTAGACTTCAAAGAAGGGCCATGTCCAGGGAACCTGGACCTTTCTAGCCACAGCTAGCCTCCCGAGCCTTGGAGCCTTCGTCTCTTTCAGCGCGCGGGTTCCCTCCCCGCGCCCCGACGCCCCGCCACCAAGTTCAAAGACCGTCATCTCAGTGATAATTCTGGTTGCCCTGTATCTCCCGATGTCAGACCAGGACTTCTAAGAGAACATGCTCAGAAGTTCTGTACCAAATAAATGTCTGCTGTCGAACACCCTAACAGACCATACCCAGCTCTTTGTTCATCTATTTTTTGGGGGGTGGGGGGTGGGGGTGGGGGAGGTCTCTTTGGATCTTCACAAGTTTATGAGACCTTCCCAGGGATCACAGAATGCAAGACAGAGTAAGTAGAAGGAATATCTAGTGCTTTCAAAACATTACTTATGTTTGGCC